ATATATTAATTAAGTTTAAGTTGTCTTTTAACTTTCGTATATATATATATATATATATATATATATATATATATAATGAGATTTTTTATATAAAGCCAATGTCAAAATATATGTATAATAGACAACTTTTATGACCAATCTTTGGTTCGCGCAAATCATTCTCCTGTAAATTAGTGTTTGAGAGAACATTAAAACTGATGATTTTCAAACAATTTTTAGTTACAATATCATAAAATTAGAGAATGGAATACAATACTTCTTCCAAAATCTCATAAATCATGAAATTATTAGTACAACCCCACTAACTCTAGAATTTGGAGAAAAACTTTGGTTGCCGAAGATCAATCTTGTATCAATTTGAATGAAATAGTAATTGCGCTTGCAATATCACAGAAAATGAAGTGCTCTGTATCCGATTTTGGGGGTATATATTTATTGAAGTGAAAGTGTAATGGTCTTGATCTATATTACTCAGAGCGATGTAGAGAATGTTATCTATCTAAATCACTTTTCATTTGTGCTGAGTTCTTTATCTCCTATTTACTCTTTATATTATCTTTTTTTTCTTTATGCTCTACTTGATTTGATGTCATATTACCCTGTCTTTTTGAAAAAAATGCCATTGGCAGGTTGGTGATGATGTCACTGTGCTTGATGCCACTGGAAAGTTTGTCATGCCAGGTTAGTTTCATACTACACCTATGTGATAGATTACTACAGCTTTTAACTATTCGGAGTCGGGGGAGTCTATAATAAGGGACACAATGTGCAAGTCAGGAATAAAAGTTTTATGTTTAAAGCTCCCAATACTGTTTTCTGCACAGGCTTCACCTTTTGGGGTCTATCATGTTGTTTCAAGCTTTTCTTGTTATGTATACTGGTATTTGGTTTTCTATTCTTCATTATTAAATATCCCCTAATAGTGAAATATGACTGTCATTCTTTAGGGGCCAATCATTCTTTAGGGGCCAATCTGTGTTCTCTAAACTTTAATTTGTTTAACATTAACAGGAGGCATTGATCCTCATACCCACCTAGACATGGAGTTCATGGGTTCAGGAACCATTGATGATTTCTTCAGTGGTCAGGCTGCAGCGTTAGCTGGTGGAACAACAATGCACATCGACTTTGTTATACCAGTTAATGGAAGTTTATTGTCAGGATTAGAAGCTTATGAAAAAAAGTCTAAGAAGTCCTGCATGGCTTATGGTTTCCATATGGCAATTACAAAATGGGATGAAGTTGTTTCAAAAGAAATGGAAATAATGGTCAATGAGAAAGGTTAGTCATCTGTATTTCCAGGTTTTGTTGAGTGAGCTTAATTGTTGGCCATGCTAAGCTTTATGAAATTTATTTGTATTTACAATTTGTGAACTTAATTCAGGTATAAACTCTTTCAAGTTTTTCATGGCATACAAGGGGTCTTTTATGATCAATGATGAGCTTCTGCTACAAGCATTCAAAAAGTGCAAGTCTCTTGGTGCGTTAGCTATGGTTCATGCAGAAAATGGAGATGCTGTATATGAAGGACAGAGAAGAATGATAGAACTTGGTATTACTGGTCCAGAGGGACATGCTCTTTCAAGGCCCCCAGTGGTAATTATAGAAACAGATTCATGGTGCAAACATAACTTGGATAAGATGAAAGTGTGGTTTTTTTTTTCCTATTTTGCAAACATAACTTTGATATTAATTAGTAATTATTAAATGCGCATCATCTCCCTTCACATAGAGCATTTCTTATGCTGTAATATTTAATGCCTCTATGCATTGCCTTGTAGCAACCTTAACATAATAGTTATTTATCTTACAATTTAATAGTACTTTATATTCCATATCTACTTGGTATGAATATTTTATTTTTATTTATCAGTCCCTATTTTTATGAGTAAACTTTCTTCTGCAATCATTACATAGATATGGTAGCAATCCTAATTCTGGGTGGGGCTCTTGTTTCTTTCTTTGAAACTAAGAAGATGTTCTCGTTCTTACTATCTTGGAAAGACTAGTTAAAAACTTTCTTAGAGATTGAGGAAAGATGCCCGTCCAGTTATGCTGTTTTCGTGTTATCAGGTTGAACTTTTGTAAAAGAGTTTGGTTTTGTGGCCCTCACTGTTTTAGAAAGACTACAACAAGTAGGATACATGCTTCTAATCTGATCCCCTTTCCAGCTGAATGCAAAGTAATGCTTATCTAAAATTTGGTCGTTTAGTAATGAATGTGCAATTATTTAGGCAGGTATCTTTTTATGCTGATGTCATATTAATGGAAATTCATTTGTTATATTTGTTCTGTGGTTCTTTAAATTATCTAATAGTTATTTGCAAGTATGTTAATGAGCATATGATCAATGTCTGATTCAACTTAAATAACAATGCAGCTGGAAGGAGAAGCAACTGCTCGAGCAATTAAACTCGCAGGTTTTGTGAACACTCCCCTCTATGTAGTTCACGTGATGAGCATTGATGCTATGGAAGAAATTTCTAAAGCTCGCAAATCAGGTTCTGTGTTTTACATTTCTTGCTCTGCTGGTAAATTTATTGGTCAGCAGGACTATGTTTTTTTCTTTTTTCGATTGGGGACTATCTTGTTATTGATAACTAGAATTTCTACTATTTCATTGGTTTGTTTATTTAGTTACAATTTGTGTAAATAAGCAATAAACTCTCCTTTTTTCTCAGGACTTTACATTAATTGCCTAAGTAAATAGCTTTGGCAGTTGATCTTGGTATACAACAAATTCATTCTCTAACATTACCGTGTCATGTCAGAATCATGTTCAACCACCCTTTCCCAAAGTTCCATAGTGTGCTGTGGACTGACTCTATATCACCTGTATTTTGTATCCTAATTCAATGACAAACAGGTACCAATTTCCAAAAATTTTGATTTGTTGAAGTGGCGTCACAAAGAATATGCTGCAAGAGTTTATGATACCCAGCCAGAGTGCATTTTGGCAACTGCAAAGAATTTCTTATCTAATTGTCAATTCTGATATGTGCCGATTCATGGTAGCATAGAGACCAAAAAGCTCAAATGAAGGCTAATAGAAAGAAAACAATGAACAAACTGTAAAACAAACTTATAGACAGACTTCCACAGATACGTGTATTAATAATGATAGATGAAGCTGATTAAGATGGCATATAAACTCTAGACATTTTTCCAGACACAGTATCTTGTTTCTGTTTTACCTATCATTTTGGGAAGGGAAAAAAAATGACTCTCTTAAACTGCAGGGCTGAAGGTTATTGGAGAACCAGTAGTTTCTGGGTTAGTGCTGAATGATTCTTGGCTTTGGGATCCTGACTTTATCACTGCCGCTAAGTAGGAGGCTGCACTCTTTGTTATAGTCTTCTTTGTTGAATTTTTTCAATGTTCTGTCAGTCAAATAGAGCCATGTTAAGCATAGCCGTCTTCTGAAAATTCAGGTATGTCATGAGTCCCCCGATAAGGGCCGCAGGACATGGCAAAGCCCTTCAAGCTGCTCTTTCAATGGGAACTCTGCAGGTGTCTCTCTTATTCAACCTTATTTAAGAATTATATAAGAATGATCTGATTTGGTCCATATTGCTTCTTGTTACTGCAATGATTTATTTCTTAGCTTTGAAAGGATGGGGAGAACTAGTAAGGAGTTATTGTAAATGATGAGACAAGTTTATGGTTGTCCAGTTTTGGTTGTCCATTGACATTGTATTCAGAACCAGACTTTGATCAAACATGACAGGACATATACTATTCAGCTGCCTAAACTTTTGTTTGTTTTTCATAGCTTTGAAAGGATGGGGACAACTACTAAGGAGTTATTGTAAATGGAGACAAGTTTATGGTTGTCCCGTGACATTGTATTCAGAACCAGATTTTGATCAAACATGACGGGATATATACTATTCAGCTGCCTAAACTTTTGTTTTTTGTGTGTGTGGATAATTTAGCTACCTGAACTTAATGGTGAACGTATTTGTTATAAGAAAGTATAGATTGACCTAGATTTTGCAATGTGCAGCTTGTAGGAACCGATCATTGTACCTTCAACTCAACACAGAAAGCTCTTGGAATTGATGATTTCCTGAAAATTCCAAATGGTGTCAATGGTAGTCACAGAATTGGTCTTTGATATTGTTCAACTAAGATATATGCTCTGTTTTCTATGCCAATTTCAGTTTCTAATACTTAACATGGCAACTGGAAATTAGGTATTGAGGAGAGGATGCATCTTGTATGGGATACAATGGTGGTAAGCTGCCATAAAATTCCTGCTCATCCCTAAATAATCAGCTTAAATTAGAATCAATGTTTTGGATAATCTTTTATTATTTTTAATTTCTGTGCGTACTTTCAGGAATCTGGTCAAATTTCTGTTACTGACTATGTCCGGGTGACAAGTACTGAATGGTATTCTTGCAGCTAATTGTGTTTACTATAAATTCCCATTATGCTGCCTAAAGTACGTTAAAATGATTTCAACATCCACAAAATTTTCAGTGCTAGGATTTTCAATATATATCCGAGGAAGGGAGCAATTCGTGCTGGTTCTGATGCAGATATAATTATACTCAATCCGAACTCAAGCTTTGACATAAGTGCAAAGTCCCACCACTCTAGATCTGATACCAATGTCTACGAGGGATGGAGAGGGAAGGTAATATTTGTCACACAAAGGATTTTATTTTTCCATAAGATAGTATGTTATTACTTTAGAATTAGGAAGCTACTGCTCCCTCTTTGGGGAGACCTTGGTGGCTATGATCTACTGACATGGATACGTGTGTCAAGTGTTGACTTGGATATGTGGTATCTGATCTGAGAAAAAAACAAAAATGAGATGAGGTGTCTGAAATGACATATATTATATGTGTGTGTATTATATGCATTCCCAGATAATGGATACTATTAAATGTAATTTGAAACAAATTGTTTGATGTCAAACCCATATGTGATACAACGAATTTGATATTGAACTGATTCTGTATCTAGCAGCCTAAATGGCCTTTAAAATTAGAATTGGTCATTTTGGAATTAGTTTTATCTGGGATTGTGGATTTTAATTTAGTACTTCCTTTTAGTAGCTAAAAAACTATTTTTTAACATAAGTTCTCCTTCATTAAAAAGATTCATGTAGGTAGATTAGAAAAGAGCATTATTAAAATTTTGAAGTCCCATAAAGGAATAATGTTGGGTCAAAATAAGTGAAACAATTGCTGTAGGAGTTTGACATCTCGTATAAAATTCCTGCAATCATGACAATTGACTAGACTAAGTAGCACTAAAGCGCAATTATAGCTTTCAAAATCTACATAGTAATCATAATATATTGAAGAAAATTATCTCTTTAGATAATAGTTAATATGTCAAAGTTCAAATCCCTCTTTTATTTATTTATTATTTATGTTTGAATAATGAAATGTATATGTGGATTTTATTAACATATTGAATTAATATAATTTTTCTTTTTCTAAAGTTAAATTAAACAATTTACACTAAAAGCTCCGATCCAATTCACTCCTTTCAGATTTACATTACACCTAAGCTGCTTGACTTGGTAGTTAGTATAGTTAGGCTGTTCTTAGCCAAAATTTAGAAAGCCTCATATTCATCAAAATAAGAAGAGAACACAATGTTAATTTCAAGAATTGGCTGGTTAATTTATGCAAAGCAGCGCGCGTTTATTCTGTTTATATTTCTAATTTTCAGTCAATATGAGGGATATAAGAATTATCGGTGGCATTAATGCACTTTTATTTTACATTTTAATGCATTATATGATTGGACATGACCATGACATCCTACTTTTCTTTTTGTCTTCTATTTTATTCTATCACTGCAAATACCAACCACTCCAAAAAGATATTGAATATTAAGAACGCTGGTCTACTCAAATGCAACATTTTGATGTAGCAGGAATAGACACTTCCTAAGTTTTTTCCAATTCGACTAGAATTTTGTTATTTTCTTTTTAAGAAATTCTATGTTTCCTTTAGCCTAAGGATTTTTCGCTTATTTATACCCCTTTTTCTCAAAAAAGGATGTTTAGCGTATTTAAATGGTGTTCTGAAGATAGATTTGGTTGCTCTATAGAATTTGGTTCTTTTCTGCTACCATTATTCTTGGTATTTTGTTGGTTAATCAACAAGGTTGGTACCATAGTTTTGGCCTCACTTTATTCCTTGAGGAAGTCCAAAAGGGGAGAGCCCATTATCTTCCATATATAATGGCCATCCTCACCCTCTCATCGGAATCTCATCGGAACTCTCTTCGATTCACTCTCTCAAAAGGCCCCCTCATGCCTCAATGTAAATATAACACTCATTACATAGTGAAAACCGACGTGGATGTAGTACGAATTCGGTGAGCCATGATAAATCTCGTGTGTTCTTGGTGTGATTATGTGATTCACGGTTTTTAAGTTCTATTCACAGTATTTTCATTGGAAAATCAACAGGTTCCAAGGAAGATTGTGGATTTTTATTTCTTTTTTATTGTAGTTATATGCTTCCCTATATCATCCTTCTAATTCTTTGCCCCCGTGTGTGGTATTTTCCCCTCAAACTTCTCTCCAGTTTGTACATATACAACAAAATATACTTTGCATTCATAAAGTTTCATTCTTATACGTGTGTGGATTGAGCTTGTACAAAGCCTGTGTAATATTGTGTATGCATTCATGTGGCATTTTTATGGCATGCCAGACATTAAAAGTTCATATTACATTTTTTCTGGGAAAGGTTGAAGGACAATGTTCTATTTTCGCAGGGAAAGGTTGAAGTGACCATTTCTGGTGGAAGGGTTGTTTGGTTAAATGATGAGTTGAAGGTTTTTCCTGGTTCTGGCAAGTACGTAGAAATGCGACCTTTCAGTTATCTTTTCAATGGAATTGGCAAGGCAGATGAAAGGTATCTATCTTCTCTTAAAGCCCCTGTAAAGCGTTTTAGAGCCACCACTTAAAAAGCTCAGGTACTTTCCTTTTCGACTATTATTATTTAAACTTGAGGTGTAAATGGACATGATGCTCCTGTATATATGGCAAATGGTTTGAATAATAAGATCAAAGTTTCTATTTTTGTTGTACCATGTATGTGAATTCACTTTAAAGTCAATAAATAATATTCTTGTTGCAGGTTGCGGTTGGCAATTTATTTGAATGGATAATTTATATTCACCAACTTCACTTGTGTCGTAACTTATTTTGTTAATGATATAGGCTATTGACGATGTGTTACATTTGTTTAATGTAAGTGTTGGATTGTCTTAATTGAAGGCTCATTGTGTTGGCTTCATTTGAGGCTGGTTCTTTGTAGAGCATAATACTAGGAGAAGTGATTTGTTGGTTTTCTAATATAAACATGTATGCACTCTATTGACCAGGAACACAATACCGTGATCTTCTTATTCTTCTGACTTCTATTTCCAACTTGATTTCATGGCATTGTGCTACTAAAGACCCAATGCCCATCACGCCACCTTTATGAATCTCTCTTTTCAGCCATCACTTGCCACCACCGTTCTCTCTCACTCTGATTCGACACTGGTTTCCATTTTCTTTACAGTGCTTTCTTCCTAAAATCACTGGTTCTGAGAGAAGCTCGAAATGGAAGCTCACATTTCTTAGCATTGTTTCATAATACGGAGTTTAACCAACAGCCCCATCATTAGCCTACTGCATCTTTCCCATTTTTTTGATCCATCAAGCAATTGCATCTTTAGCTATCATCGGTATTCTTTCTTGTCCAAAAGGAAAAGGGATGTCTGGGAGCTGTTTCCTGGATCCGAAAGAGAGTACTTGGGTTCTTCCAATAACTAAACAGTATATCATGACTGAATCTAACTGGGGTTTGTGGTGGTGGAGGAATTGGATTGGAAAAAAGAGGGCCCTGAGCTTTTTTGTTGATATGGGTTGTCTAGTTGGGCCTTAATTATATTTGGGCAAAGCCCGTACCATGGAAGTTGAAGCCCTAAAAGAACAAACTTCCAAGGACCATAGAGAAGACCTCCTCTGAAGGACCTCAAATCTTCACAATGAGGAATATAAAAGGAAGCAGCCTTAAAAGTTTATCAGAGCTGTAGCAAAGACAGTTCGAATATCCGATCCCGAATTTGAAATACATTAGATGATGATGAGCGTACTTTGGATTTTGTTGGTCCTCGCCAAGTTCAATTGATAATTGCTACTGGAGTCTTTGACGTTATTTAAGTTAGGGGTATTTCTTGAGAAAAAAAGAAGATGAAGTTTTCTTGGTAAACATTGTCTGCCTGCAAAGAAACTGAAGTATATTTCTGTTCTTGTTACTGTTTATTCTTTGAATCCGTAACGTATGATTGAGAAAGACTTATTTTCCATGACTTACAGCTGTTATTTGGCCTTTGATATCAATTTGTTATTTATTTTTTATGAGGCCTTGAATCAAATCATGTCTAACAGTGATGAGAGGTCTTGAAGGTGATGGGAGGAAGAGAGTCAGACCGGAGTGTAAGAGTCAGTTACAAACACTTAATTAGAGATTTTAGAATTGAACAAAAGGTTATAATACTTGAGATAGATGACATATCGTACGCAGCAGCAATGAAGATGACAGAGAGTTCGCTTCTGGGCATCCTTGTGGGCTTCAGTTTGTTTAGATTTTTGAGGACTGGTCCTTTTGCTCGGCTGTTGCTAATTAGTTTTGTTTCCATTGGCTTCGGTTTGTTGATTGTTTAGTTGGCTGAAGTCTTGGGTACATCTTGTACCCTGTGCTGTACATTCTAATGTACCTCTTGTTTTTTATCGAAATAAAAAAGTTATGGGCATTTCACAACTTTTTTTAACTAGGGTTTCTCTTAAGTTACATTGTTGTAATTGTTCAGCAAAGATTTGGGACAATTGAATAAAGATGCAGCAGTTGTGCTTCTCTCTAGGTTTGTGTGATGCAACCTAATCTTAGGTGTGTTGCAAGGCCTCTAGGAGTGATTCCTAGAACCCTATTGCTGTGATGCTGCTAGTGGTTTATATCCTTTTTTTACAATTTTTGCTTCTTGTTTCATAAAATCCATATGGATCTCACTTACCAGAGTCTTACGGCAATGAGAATTACCTAATTTAAATAAAGAGGAGCCTTTCTACATACTATTCCTCTTTGCTCTTTATCAGTTTTGGGATCAAAGCCTGGTTGAGGTCATGTTTACATAATGAGGAAGGGATTTTAAGGGAAGATTCTGTAAATGAACGAGATGAGATAATGTTCCACATATTGAGCAACTTAGGCACTGAACTCTCGAATTGTCAACATGGATTTCGTCTTCAATCCACTGATGATTCAGCAGGCCAAGAACAAATAAGCAGCCAAAGTTCAAAGCTACATTGAGGTTTCTAAGTCATTACTTATCCTTAGGAAAGGTAAGTAAGACTTAGAGGCTCTTTCATATTCAGTAGTTATTTAGATGCATTATGCATGTCTACATGTTCATTCTTAAATCAATGCATATTTCTAAATGTGCATTGGATTGGATTTTAAGTCTGAGCTTTATAGTACAAAACCTGTTTTTCCAAGTCTTTCCCATTGTGCACGCACGAAAAAAGGGTTTGTGCATCCATAGCTTTTTGAGTGATTTTTCTTCAATGAACTTCTAGGTTTTTCTGCATACATCTTTGAGTAGTTCATGGTGCATATCATTCAAGTTCAGTAGATTGTTCCATTTGAAATCTACTGAAGCTGTCACATCCATCATCCTTCTACACTTGAGGTTGTGACATGTGCCTTCTCAATAAGACAAGTCTAGGTGTGGTGAAAGAGATGGAGGTGAAGATGGTGGTGAAAGAGGTGTTGGTTGTGGTTGTGGTAGTGGTGGTGGTTGTGGTGGTGGTGGTGATGGTGGTGGAGACGGTTAAAGTGGTAGTTGTGGTGATGAAGGTGGAGGTGGTGGTGGTGGAGGTGGTAAGAGTTGGAGGTGGAGGTGGTGTCATTTAAAAAAATGAATGAGGGTATTTTGGGAATTTAAAAAGTTGCTTTTAAAAGTTGTTGTCAAAAGGCCACTGCTTTTAAAATAATCGAGATATTTTATTTTTACCAAATACCTTAAGCTGCTTAACTTTAAAGTGAAGTAGGTTTTTGGCCAAAAAAAAGCAATCCCAAACGGGACCTTAATTTCAATTTTTTATTTGAATTTGGATTATACAACTTAGGTCCAAGGGGGTGGGTTCCTACCTAACTCACACCTGCACTTTATAAATATATATATATATATTGGTCAAACGATAGGTATCTAGCATTTAACATAAGGGTAAGTTTACATCATTAATTGGAGAAAGCCAAAACGGTGGCCACCCATGCCAAACACAAGCGCCACCAACTTTCGCTGCAAAACCAGCAACATCATGAGCTTCCCTATTACAACATCGCGGTACATGAGAAAAAGAGACACTGCAGAAATCCTTCACAAGCCCAGCAATATCATGAAAGATGCCCTCCAGCATCACATCTGGAATTGTTTGGGTGCACAGAGCCTCAATCATTATTTGACTCCCTTAAAAGAAGCTTAGGAAATTATCCCGTCATTGTATGATATGGTTTCTGTTCTTTCTTATCTATTTTACTTTGTTCACAATGAATAAGTATAAACAAATCCAACAGTATAGACTAAAATAGAAAGTATATTGCTCACTCAAAGATTGATGAACGAGTCTTGTCTATAAGATTACATGTCGATAATAGATTACAAAGGACAGGAATGGATAAATTATTCCCATTCTCAGGAAATCAAGGCCTAATACAGCAATTTATGTAGGTCAGAATCGTCTTTTTCCTCTGCATGAAAATAAATGTGAATACAATTAGAAAGAAAGCTCATATAGCAGAATTGTGCTTTCATCTTATTTTTTCCTTTTGGTTTTGTTTTAAAAGAGCGGTTTCGGGAGAAGCACGTACATAACATGTGCTTGTTCAGGAATCACTTTCTAGGTGCTTTTCCATGAAGAATTTTGACTTTGAATAAAATTTTTGATGTTTTTTAATTGAGGCACTTTTTGAAAACACGTTTATGAGCAGAAGTGCTTCCTACAGAAGGAGTCCCAAACGGGTTCTTAACCTATGTTATTTAATTAGCAAAAAGATGACAATAACGTTGCAGAAGGATGGGAAAAGTAGTGTCTTACCATAACAGAATCGTCTTGTTGATGATGACGATGTTGAGAATGAGCATCCAAGAATTCCTGTTCATTCCCCAGGCTGTTGCGCTTGAACTCAGTCAAGTCTGTCTTGTTTTGCTTCTTGTTAGCACGAGCTTGGGTGAACACCACGGTGTAGTTTGTAGGATCTGGGCCATTTTGATCCCATCCTCCAAATTGAGGAACAGACCTCCGAGCATTTTTCTGCAAAATGCAGAAAACCTAGTGTTCAACATACATCTGGGAACGCTTTGATGTCGAAAACTACATTTTGTTCACATTCACACATTGCCATCCGAAACACGACTGTTGTACATACGCTCGTATAGCCGGAATAGTAATCCAGTACAGAAATAGGTAAGATATTATCATGCTGGAGATGACATCTTGAGCTTGTATTGGTTAACAATTAACAGACCAAATAAGCTGTGTTCTAAGGACACAACGTACATAATTTGAGGTTACAAGGAAAATATAATACAAACAGGATTGGAAGCACATAGGAGCTTCTTTTTCATACTTTGTGGTTTCAATTACTCATATTCTTTTTAAGTAGCCTTTTGTTTAATCCCAAGTACAAATGAGAGAAGGGTAACAAGCTTGAATTCATTTTATGAAACCCCAACCAGTAAAAAACAGCTTTGTAAAAACGAATGAAGAAAAAGGAAAAAGAACAAGACATAAGAACTATATCACAATAATGGAGTACCAAGTGATGAAAAAATTACTTGGCCAAAACATCATTTTGGTTTAAATATTTGTCTCAAAACTTATAATTGCAAAATTTTAAACAAGTTTACATATTAATTTTCCGGGTTTTGCTACGAGAAGAATGTCCGAATCAAAATCAAATAGAGCTTCGATTTCGATAAGGAAATTTTCACAGAACTTTCAAATAATAAATTCTTGTTCTTCATAAAGTTCAATAATAAAATTGAGAAAATATGAAGAGACAGAATCTCCTTAATCTTATGATCAGTC